GAGACAAGCATTAAACGCCAAGAAACGCGTGCCACAGTGCTCTATGCAGTGTGTCTTAGCTCTCAGGAATGTATGTCTGTGAATGAGAGCCTGCACACACACACGTGCACGCACCCTGTATTGCATCCTTGTGTGTACGTCACAGGATGATAAGCATGAATTCCCAGTGCTGCTGCATACTCATGTTACAGCACCCCTCTCAGCCTCTCTTAACTAGAGTGTCCGACCTAGCCAGGGACACTTGCACCCACTCACCCGTTTTGTTTGTTCACAAGCCAGTGGTTTTTGGATTGTTAGGTCCTTCCCTCTGAGAAAGCACTTTACCAAGTGTGTGTGACCACATTTCTTCTTTTTTAATCCCTATACTTTGCTGTTGAACATTGTTTTCCAGAGATAATAACCCCCTTTTTCCTAGGCTGCTCTGAGAGCTGGTCCGACTCCTTGTTTGGTTTTTGAAACCTCAGTCCCGCCCCAGTGGCAGACCCCTTCCGATAACTTCCCACGTAATTCTTCCTGATTCCACCGAGGACCACACCACGGATGCAAGCCTGGGAGGCTTTGGATGCCATTCTCATTCAAACCCCAGCTGTGCCTCCACTGTTCTCTTACTGCACTGTTCTTCCATGAGTGCCCTGTCTGCCCCGCCCCAGCAGCCACCACTCCTGCAGACTCTGGTTTCCTGTCCTGTGGTTCCTCCAGGGGGTCTCACAGTCAGCTGCAGGACCTGGCTTCTGTCACTTAGAGACTGCATCTGAGGTATTCCTCTTAGGAGTCGCTCCTGCACCTTCCTACCAATAATGCTTTATGGACATTCTACACTTACTTAACTGTTCACACACTGAAGGGCACCATGTCTGTTAGTTACTAAATATGGTAAGTCTATTAAATTAACATCTATAAGCCCTACCAAGCCCCATGTCTCTTAAAATAGTTAGCTACACATAAATAATCAAATAATAAAATGCACAGTGAAGCCATCAGGTCTGAGTTATGTGTGGGGACTTAACTGTTTAGTTAATTTTGCTTCCCTGTGCAAGAATGTCCACCACTGTCCTTACCTGAACTTCAGTAGCTTTTATGATTAAAGGCTCAGTTTATTGTATGCTTTGTCTTTGTTGAACATCAAAATAACTTTCTCATATTTTGTCACCATTTTTAGTGTCTTGGGAAGAGAAGCGTGTTTTATAAGCTTCCTGAGGCTGTTGTACCAGAAGCCAGAGAATATTCCTTAAAGTTTACACACTCACCCACACTTACAAACACAGCATTTCAAAAACAAAATGCTCAGACTAGTTGTACATTTTTCTCCTTTTTAGGCAAAATTTTCTCAAAATAGCTTCTTTTATTCCCTCCTCCCCTCATTCTGACACCAAAAATAAGAAATGTCTGTTGTCACTAAAGTTTGCTGTGTTACTAATTCCAGATCTCTCTCCTTTCATCTGGCTTCAGATGTCAGCAGTATGGGTGCAGGTCCTCAGTTCCTCATGAAACATCTCTCTCCCCTGGGCTTGCCTTTGTGAATTTTTAGCTTTCAGAAGCTGTGCCTCACCCCATCCATCTTAGTCAGTGAAGTACCAAGCCTTGCACATTCCAGGCAGACCTGTCTCTGAGCTACCTGATTCAACAGTTACACTAAGTCTAACCAAACTGGCCTTAAACTTACTTTGTATCCAGACAAACCTAGAACTCTGGATCCTGCTGCATCAGCTTCCCAAGTACCTGATAGTGCATACATGTACCATATGGCGTGTGTGCATGCACCACTGTCCTTCTTCCGTTCTCTCATGTTTCTCTTCTGTCTGTCCGTATTGCCCTACAATGTACTGGGGTTTCTGTTTTGCTTTTGAGATAGTGTCTCACTGTGTAACCCTGGCTGGTCTGGAAATAATTGCATACACCAGACTAGCAAACTCAGAAATCTGTCTGCCACTGCCTCCTTCCTGAGTGCCGGGATTAAATCAAATAATCAACTCTGAATTCTCTTTTGCACTTGCTCTTCCTCTGTCCAGACTGCCCTTCAGTAGGTTCGTTGGGGTTATTTTTGTACCACTTGTATCTTTGAAGACCCATCCTGGACCGTCACAGATAAGCAAGATTTCTCTGCTACCCAGATTCCCACCTCACCTCTCCTAAATTTCTCCATTGCAGTTTTCACCAAATGTACACTCTGTGGTCCTTTGGTCTTCCCACTATAAGATGTGCTGCCTGAGAACAAGGGTTTGGTCTGTTTATTCACCGGTGTGTCTACAGGAGGCCAGGGTAGCGGGCATTTGTGTATCAGATATATGAGATGTTCATTTGCAGATGTGGGCTGTGCTTGTATGAGTGAGGCAGAGGGGTTGATGGAGATTTCTATGATGGGCTCAGTAAGTGGTCTGTATTCACGATGAGTGTTGTATCTCTAAGTCCCTCTTTTAAGTTACTTTTTGTTTATTTTTGAGATAAAATCTCACTGCATAGCTCTGGCTGTCTGGAACTTGGCCATGTAGACCAACCAGGCTGACCTGGAACTAACAGAGATCTGCCTGCCTCTGCCTGGAGCACTGGGGTTAAAGTTTTGAGTGTTTCAACCATGCCAGCCTTTTAAAAGACTTTTCTGGTTATTTTTAGCACTTTGAGGCTGAGTCTCAGGTAACTTAACCTCAAACTTACCTTGTATGCTAGTATGTGATAAGCTGGTGTCTTAGCTAAGGTTTTACTGCTGTGAACAAACACCATGACCAATACAAGTCTTATAAAGGACACCATTTAATAGGGGCTGGCTTACAGGTTCAGAGGTTCAGTCCATTATCATCAAGGCAGGAGCATGGCAGCATCCAGGCAGGCATGGTGCAGGAAGAGCTGAGAGTTCTACATCTTCATCTGAAGCCTGCTAACAGAATACTCACTTCCGGGCAGCTAGGATGACACACCTACTCCAACAAGACCACATCTACTCTACCAGGGCCACACCTTCTAATCGTGCCACTCCCTGTGCCAAGCATATCCAAACCGTCATGGCTGCCTTTCGTAAGAAATGTAGCCCAAGCTAACTGTGCTAACTAAGGAACAGTTAGGAGGGTGTTTGTTTGTTTGTTTGTTTTGTTTTTGTTTGTTTGTTTTTATGTTTTTCGAGACAGGGTTGCTCTGTGTAGCCCTGGCTGTCCTGGAACTCTCTCTGTAGACCAGGCTGGCCTCAAATTCAGAAATCCGCCTGCCTCTGCCTCCCAAGAGCTGGGATTAAAGGCGTGCGCCACTACCACCCGGCAGGAGTTGTTTTTTAAAACATTTATTTATATGTGTTTTCTGTGTATGCGTGCATGCATGGAAGCCAGAGGTTCTGGGAATCAGTCCTCTTCTTCTGTCATGTGGATTCCAAGGATGAGACTCAGATTGTCAAATTATATGAGAGCAGGGGCTTTTCCCACTGGGCTATTCTGCCAGCCTCTGCTTTTTAAGATGGAATGTTCTCTTTACTCTGCCCTCCTTTGTGTTGTGTTTAATCTTGATGTATCCCTTGTTGAGTGGTGTAGCTTTTGTATGAAGAATTCTTCCTTTAGGCTTGAATATCTAGGTGAGGAGGACCAGTTTGAGTTAAGGAAAATTAACAAAAAGAGGATACTTGGATACACCAGTTGATTTTGATACACAGGGACATTTGTGACCTGCCAGGGCCACAGCTGCTTGTGGCCACAGCCAGCCAATTTTTTATAAAGATAGCTTGGCCTTTGTCTCTCAAGAGACAGTAAGTTGGGACTGATCAAGAGATTGCTTTAGTAAGAGTGCACACTGTTACAGAAGACCTAGTTCAGTTCACAGCAGCTGGGTTGGGCAGCTCATAAACCACCAGTAATTGCAGCTCCAGGCGGGTCCAGACCTTCTTCTGCCCCCTCAGTTACCTGCACACACTGGTACACTCACATCTAAAATTAAAACTGAGAGGACAAGATGTCAAAGATAGTAATGAAATCCAGGGTCTTCTGCTACTTTAAGAAAACTAACCACTTTAGTTTCTCATGGTAATTGGTTAAAGATCTTTCTTGGAGGTGGGTCACAACCTGTTAAAAAATGAAGTTAGGAGGTTGGAGAGATGGGTGAAATAGTAAACTTCCTACTACATAAACAGACATCCAAGCTCAATCCCTGGCATTCACAGTCAAGCATGGTCACATTTATCCATAATATTAGCTTGGGAGAGCAGAGATCTCGGAGGTGCCGAGCTTCCCAGTCTGACCAGTTGGTGAGCTCTAGGCTCAGTGAAAGCCTGTCTTTAAAGACCAAGTTAGGAAGAGATGAAAGAAGACAGCAGCTAGTGGCCTTGTGTATGTACTTTTACACCTGTTTATTTCTTCTGTCAAACTTCAGGGGTTTAGTTTGGCTTACAGTTCCAGAAGGATGCAGATCAGCAAGACAGGGAGAGCAAGGCATGGCGACAGTCAGGAAACAAAGTATGGGCAGCAGGGGCTGGAAGCCGCCCAATCATTTCTTCACTCCACCCTTCAAAACCATTCTGGTGTTTAGGTCTGCTGTTTGTTTGTTTGTTTGTTTGTTTGTTTGTTTGTTTGAGACAGGATCTCCCTGTGTAGCCTTGATTGTCCTGGAATGCCCCCTGTAGCCCAAACTGGTCTAGAACTCATAGAGATCTGCCTGCCTTTCCCTCTGTGGGAGTAAAGGCGTGCAGTGTGCACCACCACTGCCTGGCACAAAAACCCTTCTTAAAGATAAAAACTTGGGAGAAGAATGTGTATTTTGTTAAGGAATGCTTGTATAAGACTGTGAGTGGGTGTGTAAAGACGAAGAGGTTATTGAGATTACATGAGCAAGCTTAGTTTTGCAAGAGATTAGTTAGCAGCAATACTTAAATTGCCTGTCCTTGTAAGAAGCTGGAGGCCAGAAGCTCCATTATTCATCCCTAGAGATGGCTTGATGCCCGCAGGCAGTGTGGCCCTGACTCAACCCTGGAGTGGGACAGTGAAGCCACTGACTGACGCTGGCTATGTCACTGTGCTTCTCTCCTGCAGTGAGTTCCATGGGAAACGGCACCAGTCGACTCTACAGTGCTCTCGCCAAGACAATCAACAGCAGTGCAGCTGCTCAGCACCCGGAGTACTTGGTGTCAGCTGACCCAGAACATCTGGAGCCCATTGATCCTAAGGAACTTCTCGAGGAATGCAGGGCTGTTCTGCACACTCGGCCACCCCGGTACCAGAGGGATTTTGTGGCCCTGAGGACAGATTGCTCCAGTAGCCACTCTCCCATTAGAGTCATGCAGTGGAACATCCTGGCCCAAGGTATGCCTGGTGCCGAGCAGTGAAGTCTGCAGCAGCTTCCCTTCTGCTTCTGTGCATTCTCAACCCTCCTGTGTGGAGGGAGGAATTATGGGTGGTTTCTGTTCAGCAACTGTGGGATAAGCTTAGGCATTCTATTGCCAACAGCTTGAGTCTACGACAGCATTTACAGGCAACAAACTGAATGGGTAGTAGGGACAGTGTATGGGGCAGCAGCTGAGGCTAGCTGTAGTTGGCCTTGGTGACCATGGTTCCATGATGACTGCTAGAGTTTGAGGCCAACGTGAGCTGTGGTGTGAGGCCTCGTCTCAAAACAAAACCAGAGATACTGCTTGACTAGTTCCTAGCACTTAAATATTTTTATTTGTGGCAGCTGGCTAGAGGTGGCCTACACCTTTAATCCCAGCACTCAGGAAACAGAGGCAGGGGAAATCTTAGAGTTCTAGAACAGCCAGGGCTATACAGAGAAAGAAACACTGTCTCGGGGGAAGGGAGGATTAAAGAAATTTGTGGCATTAAAGGGCCCCTTTTATTATACTTGCTGAATTAAAAACCAGGCTTATCAATCATTTTTATGTGGTAATACCTTTTATCTAGTAGTTGAATTGTAAGCAAAGGTATCTTTGCAGATGAAGAGGTGGCTCCGTAGTTAAGAGTCAGATGGCTCCAGAGAATGCTCCGCCTCTGGCCTCCGCAGGTACCTGTACTCAAGTGCTTACTCCCCCTTACCCCAGAGTTAGACATAGACATAGGTTTTTGTTTTGTTTTTTCTTTTTGGGGGTGGTGTTTTTTTCTTTTTTTTTTTTTTTTGTTTTGTTTTTGGTTTTTGTTTTGTTTTGCTTTCTGAGAGACAGGGTTTCTCTGTCTAGTTCTGGCTGACTTAAAACTAGCTCTGTGGACCAGGCTAGACTTGAACTCAGGGATCCACTAGCCTCTGCCTCCGAGTACTGAAATTAAAGGTGTGTGCCCACCACCACCAGACTCACTAATCTTTCTTTTAAAAAAGTATTTGTATTTATTCTTTGGCAACTTCATATATAAATACCATGTATGTTGGCATATATCTACCCACATTCACCCTGACCAGCTGCCCTTTGATTCTATTCCCTGGAGAATGATTCTATTCATTCGTAAGGAGAAAAAGCTACTCATTTGTCGCATTCATTCTGAGTAGTATCTACTTATATCCATTCATCTGGCTTTCTTATAGTCAGTGTTAAAATTAGTATTCATTTAAATTGACAATTTTTTATATCCCCAGGACTGTGAAGAATGGTTCCTCTAAACCTAAAAGCAAGTCTTATATCCTAGAATACAGCTATATAAAATATTTTTTATATATAAAACCTCTGCTGCTTGCTTCAACAGATAGTATGAGGTTATTTAGTCTGAGTGTGTTAGCACAGCTAGACAGATCTGCTCCAGCATCAGAGGCAAATATCAGATTTCCAAGCCTCTACCCACTAGATTTCTTTTTCTTCCTTTTCTTTCTGTTTTCTCTTTTCCTTTTTAGTCAGAGGCTCAGTATGTAGCCTTAGCTGGCTTGAAGCTCAATGAAACATCCCACGATGGCCTTGAACTCAGGGAGATCCACCTGTCCCAGCCTTTCCAGTACTGAAATTAAGGGTGTACCACCACACCAGGCTTCCTCATTTTCTTTGAGGTCATGGTCTGTAGAAGCTGACAGATGTTTGGCTTTTCTTTTCAGCTCTTGGAGAAGGCAAAGACAACTTTGTGCAATGCCCTGTGGAAGCACTCAAATGGGAAGAAAGGAAATGCCTTATCCTGGAGGAAATCTTGGCTTACCAGCCAGATATATTGTGCCTCCAAGAAGTGGACCACTATTTTGACACCTTCCAACCACTCCTTAGTAGACTGGGTTACCAAGGCACATTTTTCCCCAAGCCCTGGTCACCATGTCTAGATGTGGAGCACAACAACGGTCCCGATGGCTGTGCCTTATTTTTTCTCCAAAGCCGATTCAAGCTCATCAACAGCACCAATATTAGGCTGACAGCCATGACCCTAAAAACCAATCAGGTGGCCATTGCACAGACCCTGGAGTGCAAGGAATCTGGGCGACAGTTCTGCATTGCTGTCACCCACTTAAAAGCACGCACTGGCTGGGAGCGGTTCCGATCAGCTCAGGGCTGTGACCTCCTCCAGAACCTGCAAAACATCACACAGGGAGCAAAGATCCCCCTGATAGTCTGCGGGGACTTCAACGCAGAGCCAACTGAAGAGGTCTACAAACACTTTGCTTCCTCCAGCCTCAATCTCAACAGCGCCTACAAGCTGCTGAGTCCTGATGGACAGTCAGAACCTCCGTACACAACCTGGAAGATCCGGACCTCAGGGGAATGTCGCCACACGCTGGACTACATCTGGTACTCCAGACATGCTCTGAGTGTCACGTCCGCTCTGGACCTACTCACTGAAGAACAGATTGGGCCTAACCGGCTCCCATCCTTCCATTACCCTTCAGACCACCTGTCACTAGTCTGTGACTTCAGCTTTAATGAGGAGCCTGACGAGCTTTTATAAACACTATCACTTTAATCACAAGAGTCTTAACCAGGGATGTTTTGGGAACTGAAAAAGGATAGGAAATTGCCTGGAAAAGGACACCCAGTTCCTGCCACTTACTCTCCATCATTTCCAGCATGCCCTTGAAAAAGAAATTGTTCACAAACCTTTCCAGTTAAAACCTGCATTGAAAAGGTGTTTGCACTCCAGTTTGAGCTTGTTTCATCTGTGTACCACCCTCTACCATTTAGGGGCATTAGTAGCATAGGCTGTCTTGGTTTATAGTTGAGGGTATTGTAAAAACCCAGTTTGTGAGCCCTTCAGAATTAAAGTAAGATGTAGGAAGTTTTCTAGGCATCATTTCAAGTTATTTATTTGTGGGATTTTTAAATGTCAGCAGGAAGTGCATGGTAATATTTATTTTTTTATATCTTCATGTAAAATTAAGTGGGTTATATAGCATTGTGGACATTTTAGAACCATGCAGGTTCAGTCTTAATTCCTTAAAACTTAAAAATGTTTTTATTTGATATAACAGAATGTACACTAAGGAACTATTTAGCCCTGGGGGATTTGTGACTTTACATGTACATTCTTCACAAATAATCCCTGTTTGCTATGCCTCCGACTTATCTGTTGTGTTTTAAAGAAAATCAGTAGCGTTGAGTTCTTTAGCTTCCACTGTTTAGTCACTGTTGGGTATTTGTGCCTTTTCTGTTGTGATGACATTGGTAGACAGGACATCACCCCAGTCACTTCTTCTGGAATGTGCTTTTATAAGTAGCTTTAGGAACAGTTCTGGAATAGTTGCTAAGAATATTAGTGAGAAGTTTTATCAAGACGCCAGATGTGATCCCAACATTCAACTGAGACGAGAAAGTCCATGTCTTAGAGGCCAGCTTGGGCTGTCTAACAGACCCTTTCTTGAAAAAAATCCCAAAGACAGCCAGATGATTGGGTTCAGATTTTCTAGAAAAAATTTAAGAGTCAAAAAGATAACCCTTCTCTTTCAATTGTTGAAGCCTCTTCCAAACAAAATAACCTACCAGTGGTAAGACGGTAAATATCTTAATATGTGAGTTCTGAATATTACTTAAGGTTAATAAATGGACTTAAAGAGTGCTTTTGATATCTTGTCTTTTTAGTCTAAAGGAATCTGGGAGTTTGTTTGGATCTTGTAATATTTTATGTTGTTACACACTATCCATTTGTACACTGAATTTTCATCTCAACAGTAACAGAAGTAACTACATTCAGGCTTCTGGGTATCTTGGTCCCAAGGATGGAGCCCTCCAAAGTGGCTTACGCCTGCATTCCACCTCCAGATCCTCAAGTAATATAGTGGTCAAGTTCGTCTCCCCATTGTACGAGAGCACTTCAGGCTTAATGCAGACACATACTCACCAGGGGCCAACAGTACTTTACCACAAGACGTGACTTGGCTATGGGAACACAATCAAGTCACAGCCTCAGAGGACTTGGAGTAGCTGAATAGTTTCAAGGCATTTAGAACTGAGGCAGCTCAGTGGTGGAGCACTTTTCTAGCTCATGTAAGGCTCCAAGCTTATCCCCCACCACCAGGAAACAGACAACTACCAGCAGGACATGGTAGTGCCTGGGGAGAGTAGAAGTAGGGTGATCAGGCGCTCACGGCCATTCTCAACTACAAAGCAAGTTCAAGGCCAGCCTGGCTTCTTTGAAACCCTGTTCTAAAAGCCAAAATAAGAGATGGGTGTTCAACAGAGATTTGCAGTTAGTGGCTCAGCCAGTAGGAATATCCTTGTTTCTCACCCTTTTGGCATGTTTGCTTTATCCTCCTTGCTTAACCTTTTTTGATACACTTTGTAGCCCAGGCTGGCCTCGTGCTGTGTAGCCCAAGATGACCTCAAACTTGTAGCAGTGCTCCTGCCTCTGTCCCAGTGCTAGGATTACTGTGTGAGCCTCCACACCCAGCTTTGCCCATCATCCTGCTTTTCTAAGACCAGACTTTGTTCTTCTTTGGCTCCCCTTCCCAACATGCCAGTTCCCAGCCTCAGAGTAGACCTTTCCCCAAGTAAGGCTTCCAGTGCCTACTGTGGGAATATCTGTTTTGATGCTTAACTCCTGTTGGGAGCCAACTTCTAGCAGAAAGTGGCTATCATCTTTGCAGCCATCTCGAGCCAGACACCCTGACAAGAGACTTGTTTTCAACAGCCCACAACAGCTGAGCACACTCTGATAAACATCTTGTTTTTTTTTCACATAGCTTGTTTTGCTGTTTAGTGCCGCCAGCAGCTAGACACATGTGGTCTCCACGCTGCTAGCTAGGCGCATGTGATATCCACGCTGCAAGGCACGTGACATAGTGTCTTCAGCTCTGCTTGTCCACGAGGGCAAGGCGTGGTAAAGGGTATACATACTCAAGATTTCCTTTTAATAAACAGGACTTGACCAGACTCTGTCTTGTCTCTATTCTTCGCATCTCTCGCCCCTCCATCCCCACTCTCTCTCTTGCTAGACCCTGACCCGCGGACCAGAGCAGCAGAACGGGCCGTTACAGAATGGCGCCTCAACGTTGGAGCTCCAGTAAGCGGGGTACAGTGAAGGACACCCCGGGAATTGGAAGCATGCATCCTCACTCCTGCTCTGGAGAACCTGTTGACTGACCAGAACGGGCCATTACAAAGTGGCCCCCCAAACATGGGGCAGAACGGCCGTTACAAACTCCAACTCAAGAAAAGTAAAAATGATGTGGAGGAGATGTCATAGATATAATGTCTCAATGAGAAAATTTATTGACACCAGCAAAGAGACAGCTGGGCAGAATGCTATTGAATTTAAAGAAATCACAATGGTGTATGTAACAAAAACCACTTTTATTTATTTTAGCTTTTTGGCACACTAGCTTCCTGAACTCTCAGCATTCCAACGTCTGAGGTAGGATAATGTTTTCTGACAACCTGGGCTACATAGCCAGACCTTATTGGAGGGAAGGCAGGCATGCACAAGATGCCATCAACAGGACTGGAAAATGGCTAGATGTGAATGACCCAAGGTGTCTGAGATAAACTTACACATCCCTGGCAGAAATAAAGGGCTGTTAATACTAAAGGGGATGGGAGTTTAATCCAGCACTCAGAAAGAGCTGTGTGGTGTGGCAGTTAGGTAAAATGAGCTCATAAGAGTAAAAATCTAGTCTGGACCAAGATCTGGTAGGAAAAAACATGGGCAACTATCTGAAAAACAGCTCTCACAACGAAATGACTAAACATTCAGTAGTGTCTGCTTGTGTAGCACACACTAACTCCTCACCCCCTCTACATTAGTAAGCCCTATAGACAAACCTTGGTTGGAAGTCAAAAATCAGGATAGCCATGTAGGCTGAGAAAAAGCCAGAGGCATGTCATACGAAACCAGATTGACTTTGGGAAGCAAACTAAGGCACAAGGTTTGATTGGGGGGTGTGGAGACATGGCTCATGGGTTAGGAGCATTTGCTGCTCTTACAGAGGCCTCAGGTTTGATTCCCTGCACCTACATGGCAGCTCTCAACCCCAGTTCCAGGAGCTCCAACTCCTGGCCTCCACAGGCACCTCATACATGTGGTACACAGGCACCTCATACATGTGGTACACA